AAATGCAACAAAAAATTCCAATAAATATAAAATGATGCCTATAAACTATTTTTAAAAGTGCAGGGATAAAGAAAAAAAGATTGAAAGCTACTGGCCTAGATTAGCATAGTCTCTACCAACTCAGAGAAGCCATGTCCCCAGGAACCTAGAATTTGAAGCCCCTACATGGACTCTCTTTCTGCAAATGCCCACAGGGAGGACAGCCCTGACTGGCCGCAGGGCCCATTACCTCTGGCTCAGCCTCAGGAACAAGCTGGTGAAGCTCAGTCTGCATCAGGGGTCTCTCCTGGGGACAAGCATTGCTGGGCAGGAGAGGAGCATCCTCCAAGTTCTCAGGCCCCTCCGCTGTCGTGGGGCTCACCCCAGTCTCCATGACAACACACAACTGGCTCAATCTGCTTCTCAGCAAGGACTGCAAAGGAAACAGAAGGGGCTCGGGTATGTCCTAAATTGGTGGTCTCTGGGAGGCTGAGTCACTGCCTGAGCTGCAGACCCAGCAGAGGACAGATCCACCTACAGACACAGATGCTGACCTAGAAAAATCTGGAACCGAACCACAATAGTGAGATCACATAATTCCCTACAAGAGTACGGTCCTTAATAGCCTCTAAATACTTTTCCTTTCATGCTCTCGTTTGCTCAGAATAGCCTGGGAGCATGGGTATCTTTACCCACACATGGCAGTGAAAAAACTGAAGTTAAAGGCCTTGCCCAAGGCTACCCAGGAACTAACAAGCCAGGATCAGAGCTAAGCCACAATCCTGACTTCCAGACCCACGGCAGCAGGGCCCAGGAAAGGCAGGTCCTAGGGAAGGAGACAGGAGGCCTGGCCTCCAAACCTGGGCGTCACCAGCCAGCTCTGTGACCACAGGCAGGTGACAGGTCCTTCCAGAGCCTGTTTCCCCCTCTGCAGAATCACAGGAAGATCTCTCTGATCTTCTTAACAAATGTCAGAAAGGTACTGTGAACAAGGGAAAGTCATCTAAATACGTGATCCCTCTGGATCTGCCAGAATTTATTATTATTAAGAAATATAGGCCGGGCGCAGTGGCTCACGCCTGTAATCATAGCTCTCTGGGAGGCC